GCAGTCGGTTCTATATTGCCCGTTTCTATTTTAGAAATCTTATATGGGAATCAAGAGTGTCTGATAGCAGCAGTCTGGGAAAGGCGGGTGTAGCCCCGGGGTTTGTGGTCTTGTCTGACACTGTCTTTAGAAACAATTCCCAGCAAGGTGGACCAGAGCAGAGACTAAAGTGTCATGGGAAACGGTGCGATATGTCCGACCTGATATTCAGTGTTTCACTGCATTTCAACAGTTGAAATGAAATTTGATCTGTTGAGACATATTGAAGGCTTACTGGGGTGTCTTTTGTATTTGAAAAGCAGGTGTTACTTTGTGAATCCCTAAATCTCTGTTCTAATCTCCCACCTCTCTCCTCTGTGCCTCTCACAGCTGATGAGTGGTCATATTTGATATTGGTGAACATTTTGGGCAACAGCTTTGACTGTTTTACCAATTAGGAGAGAAGTAACTTGACATTTTCTGTGACTGTTGCTATTAAATCTAGGGTTGTAGGTAACAGGTGAAGTAATCTTATTGGTCCATTTAGTTGTTGTCTGACCAAAAACGGAAGGTTTTAATGAAAATGTGAAAAGAAAGGTTGGAATAAGAGGTAAAACATCAATGAGTCTTTGTCCTGTAATAATAAAGGAATTGTTCAAATACTTTCAAATGGGGTTCCTTGGAAATGGTATGATTATATTAACTGTTGTAAATTCTCTTGAACTACCTCACTTTGGAGAAACTGCATTAAAATCTGAACAGATTGACAAGCTAATGACTATTCCAAGCAGGACCAAAACTAAAGTGGATTGTAACTGATTTAGGTTTTAATGCTGTTTGTTCACATTTTGAGTACCCAGTAAAAATCGTATTCTCCAGCAGAGCAAAACCTGTCCGAGTCTAACCACTCTGTCCCCCCAGATATTGGATTAAAGAGGCATCTCCCACTGCTGTAGGAAATAACTTGACTCTTAAGATTTGCTCTTTCTTCCAAAGATGTTGGTTACCAGTAGTATCAGGAATGAAACGACATAAAAAAGACAAACAATCTTGAAGTGCTCCTGCTGTGACCACGCTGGGGGCACTCATTTAACTAAAGGCTACACCCTCTTTTATGCTGCTGAAGAAAAGCGTCCCTGTCAAACCAAAACCCAGAACAATAGGGGCCAGCCTCGGGGAAGCAGGGCCATTTGCATGCAGCTGTTTGCCGTTTCCAGGACCACAAAGGCCAATCAAAGAAAACTTAATGGAAGATGACAAGCGTCAACCAGTGCTTTTGCTCTCTGTCTGTGCCAGGCCTTGTCATTCTCTTTACCCTCCAAAAATGCCCCACTTTTTAAAAACTAAACATTCCTTTAGTTTTTTTTCCTTCTGTTCTCTTCCTTTGATGTCCCAGTGGAGTGTAGTTTGAAGGGTTAACGACTGGTCATCATGACTGCAATCCTAAAAGCTCACATGCAGTGCAACAAAAATGCAGAGTTGTAAATTAACTAAGTACAAATACTTTGTTATTGTACTTAAGCAGAAATTTTGGTTATCTGAACTTTACTTTACCAATTATTTTTCAGCGTACTTTTTACTTTTACTCGTTATATTTTTACACAATTATCTGTACTTTCTACTTACTACATTTTTTAAAAAGGTAAGAAGTAGAAAGTCGTTACACTTATTTTATTCCGAGTTGTTATTACTTAAAAAAATACTATCCTGATAAATTGTGTCTCCTGGATAGGGTGAATTTAATTGTAG